GGCCAGTGTTGGAGCGCGGTCACGGAGCTGTCTCAGCTCTTCCTCCAACAGCTCTGCCTTCCGGCGGTTTTCCATTGATGACTGCTGCCAGCTCCTGAGTTGGGCCACGCAGTCTGCGTTTAGGCATTGTGGCTCTTCCGTCATTTCAAGAGGCCCTTGCTGGTAGCCCTCCTCCTCCTCCTCCAGACCCAGATCCAAGCAGGAGGCCAGCGGCACTGCTGGGTCTGTGGACCGCAGCTCTTTCAGGATAGCTATGGTTGTGCATCTCCTGGCCCACTGCAGGTACTGCTGGACCTGTGCCTCATTCAGTTCGGTGTGGCAACTGGGGATATGCTGGTCCAGCCTGGTGCTGTTATAATTGCACCCCATGACTGGACATGGCTGACGCCTTATATTCACCCGGTTGCTTGCCAGGTTGAGGAGGAGCTGGCGCTCTTTGAGGTTTAAGACCCCGTGGCTTGCCTTCAAATGTTTTGACATCGCCGCGTATGTCTTCATGCATATGGGGCATGCATTTTTTGTTTTTGGCAGTGTCATATCTGAAGAAAATAAATAAAAATAAATCAGATACATAATAATAATGAACAATAATTGTGTTAATGCTGTAAAGCATCCACTATGCTCTCCTGTTCTTTATTTATTATTATTATTATTATTATTCTGGGATAAATTTCATTGAACTAATTTCTGACAAAGAAAAACTACTTAAACATTATTGCTTTGAATAACTCGGTTTTTAAATAAACAATCATTTGGGAGATGGTCTGTGTGCCTGGATGTGGAGATTGTGTGTCTGTGAGTGAGGGGAGGGGGGAGGGGGGGTCCGCTGGTGGAAAGTTCCACTGCAGGGCACGATCTGCGATGGTACCCTTTAAGTTTCTGCATTCCATCCTGCTGCTCTAAATTTAGAAATTCAGCTTAAAAATATGACCACAAAACGTTTATAAACTGTATCTCATTGTGCAGTGTTAGGAAATGCATCTCAATTCGGATTTTCATCATTAAAAATGCAAGCAAAGCACAGTCAGTCATAATGGCGCCAGCCAATTAAGTTTTGGCACTGCACTGATGAAATTAAGTTGCAAAAAAGTCAAACATCATAATTTCTGACAAAGAAAGAGCATGCGCAGTGAGAGTGAACAACGGAGGTGCGAATCTGCGTGGGGGTGGGGTGGGCTTGCTTTCTTAAACAAAGCTGTTTTTAAGGACACTGCAGCTCTGGCACCATATAGATTTATTTATTTATTTCTACATTAGGTTTACGTTCTGTGACAATTCGAAACCCATAAGATGCCAGCTGCGGGGTTGCGAAATGTCACGCATTGCTGGAGCGTGTGTTTGCTATTTAGAACGGTTTTAATGCACTGTCCCACACCTTTAAAGCACCCCTTGAGCATTTTATGGCACATCTAATCTTAGCTAAGCATTTTCAACCACTTTTACACAGGCAAATCCGCTGCTTTGGTCCCGGTGACACTTCGAAACCCATAACATGCCAGCTGCGGGGTGCCCAAATGTCACGCATTGTGGAGCGTGTGTTTGCTATTTAGAACGGTTTTAATGCACTGTCCCACATCTTTAAAGCGCCCCTTCAGCGTTTTATGGCACATCTAATGTTAGCTAAGCATTTTCAACCAGTTTTACAGAGGCAAATCCGCTTCTTTTGTCCGTGACACTTCGAAACCCAGACACCCCATTCTAGGGGTTTCCAAATGTCTCGACTGATTGCTAGGCATGTCCTTAGAAGTAGACGGCTCAAGAATAGGTACCCTGTAGTGCCTGAAAACCATTTTCACTATCTTCTTAATGTTCTAGGTTGTTCACAGAGCTGTTGACAGTATGGGATGGATGTCAGAAGTACTTCTACCACTCATGGGCCAGGACAACAGCCCTGCAGAATGCTCTCCAGCACCCTGCTAAGGTAGGTAGCATACTGTTTGTCTGATGGTCAGCAATTTTATACAAACTGACAATTTGACTACACTGAAAGTCTTAAAGTTGTAAATGAAGGCCAGGGATTATAGATGTAGCACTAATTTTAACATTCGCACTTTGTCAGAGTGTTGTTTTTTTATGTATTTTGGCCGTGTAGTCCAAACTATTTGTTATCATTTGGTTGTAGGAGCTGGGTCTGGGGAACATCGAGCGCTGCAGAGGCTTCTCCGCTCACTTGTTCAAGCTGCTCCTCAGACAGAGGCAACGGCTGGCCAATCTCACCGAGCAGTGGGTCCGTCTCAGGTCAGAAGCAGATTTCGAAGACACTTGACTGTCTGTTACTATGTTATGAGTGTCCCAGTAGGGGAATTCTCCTTTCATTCACTGTTGTAAGTAGCCTGTATCTGGATTCTAAAAGATTACACTGGCTCTTCTGTTTCCCAACCACTTGCCTTGACTTTCATGTAAAATGTGATGAAGTCAACAGAAGATCAGATTTGTTCAACTTAGTATTCAGATAAAAATGGGGTCATTTGCATTTATGTCTTTATAGGGATTGATTGATTTATTCTTTCAAGCATGTAAAGACAGTTGATATATCAACACACATAATTTTACACATATCCAACAAATGCTAATCCAATATCAATTTGCTTATACCTAATACATGCTTGAATGGAGTAGGAAGAAGTCAGACTTATCCAGTCCTACCCCATGACATCATCTTACCATCATTGGTTTGCAAGCAGTATCTCTACATAGATAATTCTCTTCTACACCACACAAGTAATTTCATTTAAATGTTCTATTTGTCACAAATAAAAGTTGGCAGTACCAAAAAAAACATATTTACAAATTTTGTATTGTAGGAAAAAGCTTATGGTAGTTTAGAGGATGTGTGCCATAATAAAACAAATTAATAGAAGGGCTGAAGGAGCATTAACACAAAAGATATGCAGACAATTTACTGGTTGGATGTCCACAATATTTGTTGTTTATTGTACTAACCCCAGTTCCAGTGAATTTGGGACATTGTGTAAAACAAATAATAACAAAATACACTAACTTGCAAATCCTTTTTGACCCATATTTAATTGAATGCACCACTAAGACAAGATATTTAATGTTCACACTGATAAACTTTGTTTTTTGCAAATATTCACTCATTTTGAATATGCCTGCAACACGTTCTAAAAGAGCTGGGACAGGGGCAACAAAAGACTGGGAAAGTTGAGGAATGCTCAAAAATCCTGTTTGGAACATTGTACAGGTGAACATGTTTATTGGTGAGCATCATGATTGGGTATAAATAAATAAATAAAGGAGCATCGTAAAAGACTGTCATTCACAAGCAAGGACGGGGCACAGTTTACCACTTTGTGAACAGCTGCATGAGCAAATAGTCCAACAGTTTAAGAACAACATTTCTCAAAGTACAATTACAAGGAATTTAGGTATTTCATCATGTCCATAATATCGTCAAAAGATTCAGAGAATCCAAAGAAATCTCTGCTCATAAGCAGCAAGGCCGTAAACCAACACTGAATGCCTGTGACCTTCGATCCCTCAGACGGCACTCCATTAAAAACAGACATCATTCTGTAAAGGATATTACCACGTGGGCTCAGGAACACTTTGGAAATCCATTGTCAGTTAACACAGTTGGTCACAACATCTGCAAGTGCATGTTAAAACTCTACCATGCAAAGCGAAAGCCGTACATCAACAACACCCAGAAACGCCATCGGCTTCTCTGGGCCTGAGCTCATCTGAGATGGACTGATGCAAAGTGTGCTGTGGTCTGATGAGTCCATGTTTCAAATTGTTTTTGGAAATCATGGACGTTGTGTTCTTTGGGCTAAAGAGGAAAAGAACCATCCAGATTGTTATCAACGCAAAGTCACTGTGATGTATGGGGGTGTGTTAGTGCCCATGGGTAGCTTGCACATCTGTGAAGGCACCATTAATCCTAAAAAGTACATACAGGTTTTGGAGCAAAATATGCTGCCACCCAAGCAATGTCTTTTTCAAGGACATCCCTGCTTATTTCAGCAAGACAATGCCAAGCCACATTCTGCACATGTTACAACAGCGTGGCTTCATAGTAAAAGAGTGCAGGTACTAGACTGGCCTGCCTGCAGTCCAGACCTGTCTCCCATTGAAAATGTGTGGCGCAGCTTCATATGATGTGTCTTTTTGTGTCCCACCACTTCTAGGAGACTAACAAACGGCATACAGGACATCAAGGCTTACCTCCAGAGCCACAGTAAGGATGCAGGCTGTGTTGTCCCACCCCAGGACTCTCTTCAGGACTGGGTCAGCAAAGGCCAGGCACTAGCTGCCCAGTGCACCATCCTCCTGCAGCAGCTGCTTTGGCTGCTGCAATGCTGCCCTGAGGACCTTCAGCAGAAAGAGGAGACCAGCAGCTGCAGGCAGCACACCCTGAGGTGCCTGTCCCCACTGGCAGCACAGCGCCAACCCCCTGGCTGTGTGATGAAGAGGGGAGATGCCGCCTGGTGCCAGCTACACCAGCGTGTGACTGCAATGTTGAAGCAAGCCAAGAGCCTGAAGGTGGAGATGAACACTGTGGCCCAGCATATGTCTGAGGGAGTGCTGCACACATGGTATAACACAATGCTTCAAGATTTCATTTAAAATCTGACACACACTCCCAACAGTCCTGACAGTCCTTATTTCCCACAGGAACCACTTTGGAATGTGTTGTTCAGGCTTCAACCAGCTGGGGGCTGTAGCCACTCAGATGCTCAGTGTGGAGGAGCTTTTCAGTCTGGCCATGTGTGCTGGGAGCACAGACAGCCAGCTGGCCATCAGCCAGAGCCTGCAGTATGTTAGAGGCCAGGTAGAGGCTAGCATCGTTGAGTTCACGACCTGGAAGACCCAGCTGCTCTCCCTGGAACTCCAGCACACAGGTGAACTCACCTACCAGTCATACTATG